TCTGTGTTTATTAAGGGATGACATGAACACAGGTCTGAATGCAGCACTGTTGAAGGTTGCGTTTATCGGTGGAGGCCTTGCTGGCCCCGCAGGGTTAGTGGGCACTAAATAAGTCTACCGTATCTCATTTTGGAGGAATGGGAAGAGCTAGAAGGCAAAGGTGAAAATGAGAATCCTGATCTGAAATCACCTGAACAGGTCCAGTAGATTAATCAAAATGAAGACTGATAAGAGGGTCAGGTTCTCTTGGCCTTCCTATCTCCCACCCTGGGGACCCTTAGGTCTTAGGAGTGTGAGTGGGTAAAATGGTCATGGAGTATTGAAGAGGCATTTCTGGGGTTCCCTGACATACGAGCTTGTAAACTTTGTTATCAAACCCGCTGGCAAAGCCCTGACTGGGGCTGTGGTTACACTAACAAGAGAGAAATGCATGGGTGATGGTTAAAGTGTACCTTTGGATGCAAATTGGAATCCTTAAACAGGCTTTATGTGAAGTGGTTCCTCTTTGGAATGTTTTATGGAAATGGTATTATGTTTGACTGGGGAATGTTGTTAAGTTATATCTTTTTGATACCTTAATTCTTTAGAATTATAAATTTTTTTAATAACTTCTAATTGTAAAAATTTATATAAAATTTACACTTAAAAGATGAAAAACAAAACCCACACCAAAACGTCCTATTATCTTTGTATCTTGGTCTGTTGTGGGGGTAGTTCTTTACTTCACATCTGTAAACCATTAACTTGCCACTTTCTCTGAGCCTAGAGACCAACCTGAGTTGAAAGCTTTGGGTCTTCCTAGTTTTTTACTGAGAACTTCCTAGGTATTTCCTGTTCTGGGCATTTCCGTGGCTTTCTGAATTCCCCAGTATGTTAGACACTTTTGAATTACCTGACTTCCCAGAGGAACTCCCTCCCTAGTCTCCTCTCTCAGCTTTTTTTTTTTTTTTTAGAGAGATTTTGTTGTTGTTGTTGTTGTAGAGCACATGCACTCACCAAAAACACAGAGAGACACAGAGACAGAAAGCAGGAAATCACCCCCCCCCCCAACAAGGGGGATGGTGTCACCTCGGTCCCTCTCCTCCATTCTCCTCTCAGGATTTTGGGCATGCATGCACATGTGCCTGGTATGACTTTCAGGCCTTCGGGTCCAGGATTTGATCCACAGTTGACCATTTGAGAGTCCAGTGACATAGCCATCACACCATTGCTGGTCCCCCCTCTCAGTTTTTAAGCTCTGTTGTAAATCTCACTGTAGTATTTTGCCCAAGGTTGTTTGCCATACAATGTCTTTGAGGACTGTTGGAGTGAATTCTGAATTAGGTCAGCCATGCAGGCAACTAGATAAATTAGACCAGACAAACATTGATTGTGTATAAGGCCTCTACTTTGCTCTAGGGCAGTCCACCCTAAAGAGATTTATGCATTGAATATATTAATTGAAATCCCTGTAGGATTTTGTTTGTTTGCTTTTCTACATATAGACAAGGCGATTCTAAAATTTATGTGGATGTACCAACAAACTTAGTAGTTCAGATTGTTCTGAAAAGGCATAATAAAGTTGGAGGAATTACTCTTTTAAAGCTATTGTACAACAATCCAGATACTGTAGATTTGGTAAAAGGATATTCAGGTAGATCAGGAACCTCAGACTCTAGAAAAGAAAAGAACCCATAGAAAAGCAGTTGGTTGTTCCTTGACAGGTGATGTTGCAGTCCCTTCTCCATTTTCCCCTCCGTTATAAATTTTGAACACTCAGGCTCATATGTTTGGTGTCTTTTTCAAGCTGCCGAGTCTGAGGCTTGAACTATGCAGGGAGCCATGTAAGATCAGCCACCTTAGCCCCCACGCCACTGGCTGGCCCTTTCTCCAGTGGATAGTGAAGGAGAAATGTGTCAAGGAAACACTGCCTCACTGTCTTATGGCTCACTATGTGAGTGGAATGGCATTTTCAGAGACCAGTTCTGCTAATAGGTGCTCAGTTTCAGTTCCAGTGGGACCTGTGGGAAGCTCAGAGTGCACAGACAGGCTTTCCGGGTCTCCTCCCGACTGAGGGTACGAGATGGTCTGCTCCTGGAAGCAGTGAGTGTGGACGTGGCTCCCCGCAGTGCAGGACTGCTAGCAAGAGAGGAGTTTGCCACAACAAACACAGGGCAGAAACTTTCCCACCTTGGCAGTCTGCACACCCCAGGGCGCTGCCCTTCCTGTTATTTTCTACCTTGTGCAGGTGAGCTCTAAGGTGGGGGAAAGAAGGTACAGTAGATTCTTTCCCTTTCCCTTTGCTTGTACTCATACTGCAGCATCTCATAATATCTCTGTGTAACTCCTCTCACAATTTAACAGAGACCTTCCTTCAACTTGAATGAGGGAGTGTGTGAGGGGACTGACTGAGGCACATGTTAGAATCTAGCCTTCTTACTCTGTGCTCTTTCTTGTCAAGTTCATGAAAATCTTCCAGTTGTCCTTTGTTTGGTGATGTCTCTTCTGCCTCATCTGCCCATATCTTCTCAATTATGTAGCAGACTCATCAGAATTATTAGATTCAAAAACTTACGTGTTGGTTACTCTTCTATTGAATCTGATCTTCCCTTTTCTTCTCTCTGATTGTTATTTTATTTCTGCCAGCCGTATTGATGCTGGTCTGCCTTTTTTATACTTAATTTCACTTAATAGACATCACATATACATATAATTTTTTTAAGAGGGATTTTTGCTATGGGGTGTGTGTGTTTGCTGGAGACGCAGAAAGAGACAGACAGAAAGCGAGAAATCACTCCCCAGGGGGAAGTGGCCATGCCGCACTTCCCTCTTTATTCTCGTGGGATTTGGGGCATGCTTGCACACATGCCTGGTGTGTTTCAAGCCACTGGGTCCCAAACTTGACCTGTGCTCGACCATGTGGGAGTCCAGTGCCTTAACCACTACGCCACCTGTTGTCCCCTCACATGTTTTTTTCTTTTCTTTTTTTTTTTAATAATTATTTTATTTAACTTTATGTATTATTATTGTTACTTTCCAGTTTGATCAGACAGACAGAGAAAGAGAGGGAAAGTGAGAAAGCAAGCCACCAGATTGAGGACTTGAACCACGGTTGGCCATGTGGGAGTCCAGCGTCTTTAACCACCACACCACCTTGCCGGCCCCCCACATGTTTTTTTCTTAAGCTAGGAACAAAGGAGTCATCCATGACTGCTTGCTTGCTGCTCAGTTGACTTGATCTTGTCGATTCTAACTTCTCAGTACATCTCATAACTGCTCAGTTGTCATTCTCACCAACACTGATTACTATCAGGCCACGTCATAGTCACATAGATTGTGCCATAGCCACAAAACTGGTTTCTCTGTCTCTCTTAAATCCATTCTTGAGACTGTAGCCAGATTTTTTAATGAAAATTTCAATTTGCCATTTCTTAAATTATTCAGTCTTGTGTATTTGAGCATATTTTGTTCCAAGCATATTGTTTTGTATATATTGGTAGCCACATCTGTCAAATTAATAAGAATGTGTCTTCTTGGCCACGTGGTAGGGCAGGACCAGTCTAACTACCTCAGAATTTGTTGGATCTCAAGACTAGTGGTGCCACATGTGCACCAGGACTGTTAAAAACATTTATTTTTTTCTTCATTAATTTTTAAAATTTTGCTAGAGGACAGATGTGCTTGCCAGGGAGAAAGTGTCCAAAAACTCAGCCCCCACCCCCCCACCCCCCGCATAAAACACAGTCCCTTTTATATTTCTTTCTCCTTTTGGGATTCTGGACACTTATACTTATGCATGTGGCCTTTCTCTCAAGCCACTGGGTCCAGTCCTTGAACTGTGGGGTGGCTATGTGGGATCCAGCCACCTTTACCACCATGCTAAGGGCTGGTCTTATTTTACTTACTTTTAGTTTTCCAAGGGCACTATTGGGTCAGAAAAGTCATGGCGTATCTTTTACTGCTTCTGTTTCTCTTTGCAAAAATGCATCATGGCTTTTCTGAAAACCCAGTAGTTGGATGGAGTACCTGAGCAGTTTCAGTTTTATTCATATCATCTGTAATAATGTAGACATTCCCTTCTTTGTTTTTCATGGCCATAATCTCAGTTGTTGAAAAACCTGTGGACTTGGAAACGTTTTATTTAAATACAATAGAAACGGTCTTAAATACTGATTTTGAAGGATCCATCAGTAGGCTGTCAGTCAAGCTAAGTTCTTTGCCTGCAAGGTAGTTGTTATTTACTCATTTCATTAAGCTTCAGAACCAGTCTTTGAAAACAAAACCCTGCTTTTGTGAGGGGAGAACACAGCTGACATGGTTGCTGGTAGAGCCCAGCAGGTCTGCTTCTCCTAGTGCATCGGTTGGACTCCTTCGTTTTCAGTCAGACCAAGAGGCGGAGTGGTGCTGGCCATAAGGTAGCAGGCGAGTTTGGCCCAAGGAAGGAAATGGCTCATTGTATCGTTATGGGCTGATTTCACTATGTTATGTAGGGATCCAGCCCCTAGGAATACTAACACTCCTCCCACACTGAAAGTGAGGAGATTTTGGCAGGTAGGCCCTGTTTGGATCAGTCTTGTTACCAGGAAACTTGCTAGAAGCATAGACTCAGGAGCTAGACCTGCGTGCACAGCCGATCTTGCCCGGCGTGCAGGCTGTCTCTGTTTAGCTTGGTCGTATATAGAGGGATCATAACAGTCACTAACTCACAAGTTTATTTTGAAGATTAAATAAAGGAAGTAATGTCTGTGAAGTGCAGAACAATACATGGCACACTGACAAGTTCTGTAAACATTTTCTAGAATGAAGATAATCTACTGATGAGGAAGATTAGGATAAGGATGTGACAAACCTTGATTAAATAAACAAGGAATCTTTTTTGAAATTTAAAACATTTTTACGCCTTTTATTCTTATGATGTGAACTTTGAGTAAATCCAGGTTGCTAAATGATGATGTTGCCAAACTAATGACGATGTGCATCCTTAGAGCTCAGTTACAGCCTCTTTACTGCTTCGTTCGTAGGATATTCTGAACAATCTTGAATCATGTGACCTTGAGGATGATGACCTTATGCTTGATGTGGAACTTCCTGAAGATGCACCTCTTGAAAATGGTAAGTGTAGGCAGTGCTAACCTCCAGGGATGCACGCTTGAAGCTACTTGACTATGTCCAACTTGATGTTTTTACTCGAAGACTTCTATCTTTCTTAATTGTCAGAGGGCAAGGTTAAGTAATTATCTAGAGAGTTTTCCTTTGGTTTTTATAAACATTATTCTATTTAGTTTTTCTTTATTATTTTTTAAGCTTTCACTAGAGTGCACGTGTGCTTGGCATAGAGAGAGAACGAGCAAGTGAGCGAGCTGGAGGACTGCGCCATTGGCCGTGTGAGACCTGGCCCCCTTAATGTAGCCCTTCATATTTAGAACCAGTCTTTTTGTTGTCGTTTATCTTGCAGAATAGAGACAGAGACAGACAGAGACTACCCCCGAAGGGGCCTGGTCATGCCTCAGTCCTTTTTCCTTCCCATCAAGATTTTGAGTGTATGCACAACACACTCAGCATGTTTTTCAAGCCACTGGGGCCAGTACTCAAATGGCGACCAGCCTTTAGGGATGCAGTTCCCAGTGTACTCTGCCTAACGACTGTGCGCACAGCCAGGCCACAGTCAGTCTTTTCTTTGTTTGTTTTTAAAGATTATTTATTTAATTGTATTTGTTGTTATTACTTTTTTTCTATTTTTTAAAAAATTTGAACAGAGAGAGAGAAAGGGAAAGTGAGAAAGCAAGCCACCAGGTCCAGGACTTTGATTTCAGAAATACTAGTAGTAAGATATGTTAATTTGATAACTATTTTAAAATTATTTACTCCGAGGAAGAATAATCCTCTCTGAAATAGTCATTCTGCTCTCCTAGAGTATCTTTTCTGGGTCCTGGTAATGCTAGGGTGAGGTAATATAATCAATATGCAAGAGGGACCCGGGATTCTTTCAGTAACAGCATTTGTAGAGTTTTCTGTCCTAAGGACTGGTGGAGAATCAGAGACCAGCCGGAAAGCCCAAGGGCGAGGGTCGGAGTGTGGATACTCCAGGGGAAGAAGTGGCTGCAAGGATCTGAGAATTCCCCGACAGTCCACAGTAACTCATTCTTCTGGACTTCCTAGGGCCAGGGGTAAAGGATATAAGGATGAATGGAGTCCTTTTCATTCATGGTGCTAGGAAAATGCGAAGACACTTCAGAGGGGGCTTCACAGGAATCAGGAGCCTTCTTGTAGCTTTGCCGCCAGCTTATTCCTTGTATGAGGCTTACTTACTTTCAGCTTTTGCCATAGGGCGCATACATTCGCTAGAGAGAGACAGAGGACAGACAGAAGGAAAATGAGGACTCATTCCCCTGGGGATGGGCATGCTGCAATCCTGTTTCCATTTTTCTCTTGGATTTTGGGCATGTGCATGTGTGCATAAACACACACAGACACACACACACACAGAGTATGATTTTTAAGTTGCCTCGTTGCCTGGTCCAGGACTCAAACCATGGTTGGCCCTAGTGAGAGTCTGTGCCTTAACTTCCATGCCTCCAACTGACCCCATGGCTTTTTAGTTTATTTTTTTTTCTTCCCAGGAAGCGATATAATGATCAGTCTCAAAATTTTAGTGGTTTTCAATATAAAATTTTGTTTTCTTATTCATGGATTCATGGCATCTGGGGAAACTCGGGCTGTCGCACCGAGCTCAAGGCTGCTCCACATGGAGACCAAGACCATGAGTGTGGGGCAGGTGGTTCTGCGGCGGGCAGTAGCAGGGCGGCACGATGAGCAGAGACATGCATGTCTCTCCATGTTGTGGCCTGGAGCCCGCACACTGACACTGCAGAGACACTGTGCTGGCCGTGCCTGGCATTCTCCACCGGGGTTGGGAAGTCTCCTCTGACAGAGGACTGTGCATGAGAGGAGAGTGAGGAATGTGGACAACATGCACACTATTACAGGGTAAAGGCTGTTCACCTTCTTGTGACTCTTGTAACTGTCATGAGGGAGAGTCTAGCAAGCAGAGCCTAATTCCAGTGCTGAGGAAGAAAAATGAAGTCAACTCCCAAGAACAGGGAAAACAACAGAACTCCCAGGCTTATAAGCCCGAAGAGACCATAAGGAGCTAAGGGAGATTCAGTTGTAGCACAAGGCTCTCTGACCTATGAGGCAGGATTTCTGGGACAGCAAAGGTTGTGATGGTTATATCACTGGGTTCCCATGTAGTCGACCGCAGTTCAAGTCCTGGACCTGGTGGCTTAAAACTCATGCCAGACGCACATGTATGTGTGTGATCAAGATCTCGAGAGGAGAAGGGATTGCAGTGTGGCTGTTTCCCCTGGGGTGTGATTTCTCGCTTTCTGTCTCTCTGGTGAGTGCATGTGCCCCATAGCAAAAAAAGTCTCCTAAAAAAACAAAACCAAAAACGAGGGACCAGCAGTTAGTGTAATGGCTATGTCGCTGGACTCACACGTAGTCGACCGCGGTTGGTGTCCCAGACCCAGCTTAAACTCACGCTGGGTGTGTGTGTGTGCATGCCCAAGATCCCGAGAGGAGAATGGAGGAGAAGGGATTGCGGCGTGGCCATCCCCCTGGGGGGTGATTTCTCGCTTTCTGTCTCTCTCTGTCTGGCGAGCACACGCACCCTATAGCAAAAACCTCTCAAAAAAAACAAACAAACAAACAAACAAAAAACACCAAAAACCAAAAACGACAGGGTTTCAGAACAGAACAGTTCAGTAGGTGATAGAAATCTGAGTTGGTGGTCAGGAAGATCAAGTGGAAAAACACTTGTAGAACACAGAGGGAAAATGTAAACCACTGGAAATTATAGGAGGAAAAAAAATACGATCCTCTCTCGTTTTTATCGCCAAAACAGATTTGTGTTCACTGGCAAGAGGGAGGAGAGAGAAGCAGAGAGACAGAGAGGGGAGAAGATGTGAAAGAGTAGCACCCTACAGTGGGATATGGTCATGCCACAGTCCTTTTCTTTCCCTTTCTCCGTCCTGTCAATATTGTATCATGCACACACAGGCGATGTGGTTATTAAGGCACTCGATCCCACTTGGCTGACCACACAGCTTGAGTCCTGGAACCAGAGGCTTGGAAATCACAATTTGAAAATCAGGATGGTTGCACGTGCGAACATGCCCAAAATCCCAAGAGGAGGATGGAGGAGCTGAGATTGTGGCATGGCCACCCCCCGAGGGGTCTGGGGAACCGATGTCTCACTTTTCTTCTCTCTCTTCTCTGGCAAGCACACATGCCCTATGGCCCTCCCCTCGCAAAAAAAGTGTATTTATTTATAGGTGTAATGATTAATATATTGATGTTGAAGAAATAGCAGTATGATTGCTTTGTGGTAGCCTGCTGTAATTGATAGGATTGTTTCATGGTAGGCTAGCCTATATACTAATAAATGAATCATTATAACATGTTTATGGCATATATTAATAATATTGTAGTCATATTCATAATACAATATTGGAAACATAGTTACATTTTTTAAGAAAAACACCTTTGGGGCATGTGGTGTGGTGGTTAAGGATGCTGGACTCCCACATGGTTGACCATGGTTCAAGTCCCAGACTGGCAGCTTGCTTTCTCTCTTTCTCTCTCTCTCTCTCTCTTTGTCCCTCTCTGGTCTAAATAAATAAACAGGGAGAGCGATAAGTAAATGGATAAGTAAAGTTAAATAAAATAATTCTTTTTTTAAAATTTTTAAAATTATTTTATTTACCTTTATTTATTGTTATTATTATTTTCCAACTTAACCAGAGAGAGACAGAGAGAAAGAGAGAAGGAAAGTGAGAAAGCAAGCCACCAGGTTCGAGACTTGAACCGCAGTCAGCCATATGGGAGTCTAGCGCCTTTAACCACCATGCCACCTGGCGGCCCCCAAAATAATTCTTTTAAAAAAATATAAAAAGAACACCTACTTTGATGATAGGCTGAGAGGGAGGAGGAGACACTACCTTTTTTTTTTTTTCTCATGGTACTACATGTTGTTCCTTTGTCAGATCAAGAAGAATGGGTGTGATGAGTCCCATTCCCATCTCTGAGTTAGCTAGCTCAGCTCCTTTTCCTCTCCAGAGGGTACAAGTCCTGATACTGTCTGTTTTCTGGTGAGATCAGAAAGCTCATGAAAAATGCATATTATAAAAAAACTGCACATGGATTTCAGAATTTTTTTGCATCAAAATTTGTACTTTAATTCATTTTTTTATGAACTTTTGGAAATCCCCTCACATGTAGAGTGAAAGAAGTCCTAAATGACTGTTCACTTCACCGGGAACTGCTGCCTTTGTCCTTTGGAGGTAGAGACTGCCTTTCAGAGGGCTGTGTCTGTCCCCTTGTGACGGTCCTTAGCTCAGAGTTGGGGTCAGATTTGGCCTTAGGAGTGAATCTGGCCTGTACATTTTTTTGATCAGCACAGTGGCCTACCAGTGTTTCATTCGGGGTATTTGGAAGGGTCTCTCTTGGTTTCCTCTGCCCTGCTCTTCATTTGTCAGGCTAATGTGTATAAGCATGGGGATGCCAAGTGTCTCAGGCAGGTGTAGGCAGGGCATTTCCTGCGGAGTATTGGAATAGCCGTCTTTCTGCAGTTCAGCCCATGCTGACTTGATTCGAACAACAGTCTTATCCTGGAAATGTTTACCATGTGTATTTGCTGTTGGGCTTGTGGTTGAGCTCCACTTTGGTAGAGATCCCTGAGTTTGGAGTCTGTGTGGTACCAGCCCGTAGCAGTGTCACAGAGGCACACCATGCCCTGCAGCACGGTTGCTCAGGCCTGTAGCCCATCTTCCGGCCTGTTGCCTGGTGTGCTTGCTTCTCCTGTTGGTGCTGTGTTGATACCAGCCTAAGAATGTGTCAGGTGGTCCTTAGACAACATTTCTTGCTTTGAGAGAGTGGAATTTTTCCTGATTGAATTAAGGGATAGGATGTATGTTATTTCTTAGAGAAATATATATTAAAGTAACATTTTAATGCCCTGTAGAAGTACTTATGGAGCTTAGCTGAATCCCTGAATATAATAAAGAGACTAGCTTTAAGCCTTCTTAAGAATTTTTTTTGGAATCTTATTTTCTACTAGTTTTTTTTTTTTTTTTCCTTCTTCTTTTAGATATAACAGTCATTGTGTCTTTAATTTTTTGGTCAGGTTTTCTGTTAGTGAACTTAAGAAAACTACATCTTGATTTATTTCATAAGATGATAAGAAATTGTTTAATTCCAAATGTAAGACTTTGAAAAGTGTTTCCTTACTTAAAAAGATCTTTTCTATCTCCACAAAATGACTACTCTAATGGATATTTCAGTGTCCTTTCAAAACTTACTTAAATTATTGGGAACCAGCAGTTAGCGTAATGGCTGGGTCACTGGACTCCCACGTAGTCGACCGCGGTTCGTGTCCCGGACCTGGTGGCTTAAAACTCACGCCGGGTGCATGTGCGTGCGTGCCTAAGATCCCGAGAGGAGAATGGAGGAGAAGGGATTGCGGTGTGACCATCCCCTCTGGAGGGTGATTTCTCGCTTTCTATCTCTCTGTCTCTTTCTGTCTGTCTGGCGAGCGCACACGCCCTATAGCGAAAACCTCTCAAAAAAAAACAACAAAAAAACCCAAACAACAACTTACTTAAATTATTATGCATTTAGAGGAGATATATTCAAATGAGTGCACTGTATATGAGAATTGGACATCTTACTTTATTTTAAATACATCATCATTTTGGATGCGAGAAGTTTGTTTTCACTCTGTACTGTAATGAAATGTCTGGCATATTTCAAATTTAAGTTTTTAGTGAAGTTAAACAGGCATTTAAGTGAAGCTTTTGTAAAAATAATTAGGGATTACATTGACTTCTAAAGCTTTATGAACTTTCTCATCTGGTCTCACAGTTCTCAGTCCAGTGAGACCTCCTCATTCTGTGGCTGGAGTGCTAGCTGTATTTTTAGTAACAGTCCTAACTCTGCAGCTATGTCAGCTCCGAGCAAAGAAGGAGTCACAGGGCCGACTGGGCCTGCTTCCCACGGGGAGGGCTGGGAGTTGAGCAGGAAGGAAGGCCTGTTCCAGCCCCAGCCCCAGCCCCAGCCTTGGTGTGCAGCACTGTGGGAGGGACAGCAGAGGCACACTGTCTTCCTTGTCCAAAGTAACTCTCTCAGAGAAGTAACTCTGTCAGAGCGTGCTCGGATATGCAAGGAAAACATGTTGGGGTGAGTGAAGAAGCTTGGGGTGTTTCAAAGAGATTCTTTTCGTGTTTTGTGGTGTTTGGATTTCAGGGAGTGTACAGTTTGTTGCTGTAAAAGTACTGCCTTTGTTTTCAGTGGCATTTCAGACTTGCAAACAAGCTCTATTGCAGGCAGATTGAAGCGTCTTATTTTCTAAAAATGTGAGCTTACTTTAAATATTTATTTGTGATGAAAATTTAGTTTGTGCTTGTTGAAATCAGTGAGAATTTAGCTGGGACATTCACTTTTAGGAATGGGCTCTATACTAGACTTAATAATCTGCTTTTTCCTAGCATTTTCATTCTCAAATCAGATCAAACTTGCGATAGTGATGAAAACCACTTAAAACTGACTACTGATGTTTACAACGTATAACGTTGATTGTAAGGGTAATTTCCTTGTTTTAAAACTGTGGCAATTCATTGTTTACTTTATGATTGTGATACACACACACACACACACATATAGTATTATAATTCACTCCAATTTGAATAACATAAAGTCAGTTTTCACTGAAAGAGCTGATTATTTTGGAAATCTTGATTTTGTGACTACCTTGCCTGAATGACTGGCATTTTTGGAATATTACTTTTATATTTTTAGCAGCATTTAATCACTAAGCTCTATGTAGTTAACTTTTATAGAATGTGTACATGCTTATGGTCATTTATTTTCAACTCTGTCTAGTGGAGTGTGACAATATGAACCGCTTTGATCGGCCAGACAGGAATGTGCGGCAGTCTCAGGAAGGGTTTTGGAAAAGGACCCCCCAGAGGTGGAGTGCCCGAGACCATTACCACCTCAGCCATCCTGACCACTGTCACCCCCATGGGAAAAGTGACTTGAGCAGGTGAGTGCTGTTCTAACCTACATTTCGTTTCCTGTCCTCCGATGAAGTTTAAATGATCATCCTCTCTGCTCTCTTACTGTTTTTGTCTGGTTTACAGAGGCACCAGTAAAACCTTTCAAGTTACATGTGGTCCTAATTGGAGTAATATGTCAAATTCTTTATTTTTGACTAATTTTTTTATTAGCTTTGTCATAAATATGTCATAAATATATGTACTTTGTTTTTATCTATCATTCAAACTTTAATAAGTTATGTGCAATTTTTATAGTTTTCATTTGGGAATTGTTAACTTTGCTAAAGTTTATATTTTTTCTTAATAATTATATGTAAATTAGTGCCAAGAGATTGTCTTCTTTTGCTTATATTTATATTTAATAATTTCACAAGTACTATTAAAAGCAGAAGGTACTATTCTTGTTGGAAGTCCTTTCTTTTTGAAGTGTAGGATAGTCTTTAATTTGATCAGACCTGAAATGAAATGAGGCTCCATAGTCATTCAAACTTGAGATTAAAACCTCAAAACCTGGTACCAGCGCATGGCATAATGGTTATGTAACTGAGCTCCCATGTAGTGGGCCACAGTGTCCCAGACCCGGTGGCTTACAACTCACACTGGGCATACAACTCACACTGGGCATATGTGCGTGCATGCCCAAGATCCAGAGGAGGATGGAGGAGAAGAGATTGCAGTGTGGCCATCCCCCTGGGGGATGATTTCTCACTTTATTTCTCTCTGGTGAGCACACACGTCCTATAACAAAAATCTCTCTCAAAAAAACAAAACAAAACAAAACAAACCTGGTGTGGCACAGATTAGCTTTGTAGGCTTAGATAAGTTATTTAACCCCTCTGTACACCAGTTCACATTTCTAAGACATAGTGATTGCTTTCATTCAGTGTTTAAGGATCCCAGATAAAAGTGCTTGGAGCAGTGTCTGGACAGTAGGTACCCAGTGGCAGTTTCTATTATTATTATTCCTTTCCACCCTCTTATCTCAGTTTGTGAAGGATTTGAAGTAATTTTGGAACATATTTACAATACAAAAAATTGAGATAAGGAAATAATGGGAGGAAAACACATGGTCTAGTCTTAAAGTAAGATAAAAATGTTTCTAAGATTCTCTGCAGCAAAAGCAAAGAACAAAACTTGATCTACTACAAGATGTATAGTGTGCGTAAGAAAAAGCATGTATTTCTCCTGAATTAATTTGCTTTTGTGAGAGAAGCACCTGAGAGGTGTTGCTCGCATGAGTTTTTACAGTACTACCTTGTGATAGAGAGGACAGGTTCCAGACAGTCTCCCAAAGCAGAAATAGTGATAAAGTTCTTAGGCCTGTTTCTTAGTTACATTCTGCCATGCAAGCCACACATAATTATAGTCCAAGTGAGAAAAGACAGTTCTTCAGTAGATCAAGGAACAGCGATGTCCAGCTCAATCTCCTTCTGTTAGTCTAATTCAGTGCAAGGAGGTAACGGGGAAGATAATCTACAAGAATGCAGAGTATATGTCCTTTTAGGTGTAATTGTGTCTATTATATTTCTTAAATCTGAGCTTTTGCTAAGAAATGGATATGAGAGAATTGGTATTATGAGGCTCGAATCTGATATAAAGACAGTCTTTGCTGCCAACAATAAGGATTATGTTTTTCTGTTCTTAGTATATATAAGAAGATAAATTTAAGGACAACTTATGAAAATTTGGAAGCCTTACTAACAGATGAACCATTGTTCATCCTTAAGATTTATTCATTCATTTAACAAATACTCACTGAGGGCTTACCTATATGTTAGCCACTGGGCAGCATTCTGGACCTGGGGTGAATTTGGAGAGATGTGAGAGGTGAGAGCTGTGGACTGGTAATGGCCTTTTGGAGCATTGTGTTGAAGATGATAAGAATCCTGCAGTGAGTGGGCTCAGTAGGAAATTTTTGCATTACTCAGGATAAATGTGCCTGTGGGCCAGCAGGTGGTATCGTAGTCAAGGTGCTGGACTCCCACATGACCGACCATGGTTCAAGTCCTGGACCTGGTGGCTTGAAAAAAAAGTCATGGCGGACATGTATGTGTACATGCCAAAATCCCAGCAGGAGAATGAAAGAGAAGGGATTGTGACATGGCCATCCCACTTTGGGGCGATTTTTCACTTTCCCTCTCACTGTCTGTCTCTCTCTGGAAAGTGCACATGCTCTATGGCAAAAACCTTAAAATAAATAAATAATTTAAAAAAGATTCATGTGCCTGTTTCTTCCTGCACAGAGGCTATTAGTATGTACTTCCTGCTGCCAAGGTCTTAGAGTCAGACTGGTTCCATAGCGAGTAGTTAAGGGAGCCAGATCCTACATAGCTGACCTCAATTTGAGTTCCAGCCCACCAGTTTGAAAAATGCACTGGGCGCATATGTCTGCATGTCCAGAATCCAGACATGATGGAGAGATGGAGGAGAAAGGATTGTGATGTGGCCACATCCCATTGTAGGGTACTACCCGCTTCCCTGTCTGGCTACTGTATGCATACTCTGGCAATTGAAAGAAAAAGGTACTCATTGTCTATGGGAAGACAGACATGCAGGTGGTTAGAAAAAGGTACTCATTGTCTATGGGAAGACAGACATGCAGGTGGTTCTATGTGGTCTGTGCAGCAGTGCTGATGGGTGCCCCAGTAAGATGGTGCACAGGATTCCAGGAACATGCAGCAGCTGGTTTTTTGTCTAGGAAAGAGGAGTGAAAAGAAGTTCCTGTTGAATTGATTCTGAATGACTGTATGACTGTAGAGGTTGTAGAGGAAAGCTTTCTATGGGCGAAAAGTTAGTGTTCTAGATGGAAAACAAATGGCATGTGCAAAACATGTGTGAAAGGAATAGCATTTTCAGAGAACTTCCCTTGCTAGGTTCACCATGCTGCATTACTGGGTTGTTTGGAGGAATGAGTGGTTGTGATTGCTAACTAGCAAAACTGTCCTATCTGCTATTTATGATAAACCGTGACCAATTAAATTTAAAGTGAGGTTATTAATCAGACTTTAAATGGAATGAACTACCTAGAGGCAGTTCTCTCGGGGTCAAGTATTCTTAGGCCCCTTTCTGTTGAGATTTAGGGCATTTGGCTGGTCAGCTCCTACTGTTTCCTGATTGTGCCTCACGGTCTTGGCCTCTAGTTACTTTCCCCCTCCTAGTGAGTGACTTCAGTGTTTGCATATGACTTATTTAGCTCCCCTGCTCCTTAGTTTACTAGTATTCTCTACATGCAGGAGAGGTTGTCTGAGAACAGCTGGATTTTCTCCTTTTCAATCTGGAACCTTTTTTCTCTTGTGTAGTTGTTTCAGCTAAGACCTCTGGTACAGTGTTTATTAGAAGTGTCGAGAGCTATAGGCTGTCTGATTTCTGGTAATGGAGGGAATTATTTTTTCTCTTTTCTCCTTAAATATGTTAGCTGTGGGATTTTTTGGTAAATATTATTCCTTACTTTGAAGAAGTTATCTTCTATTTGTAGTTTGTTGAATGTTTTTATTAGGAATGTTGGATTTTATCAGATTTCTGTGTCTGTTGAGATAATCTCCACCCCCACACCGCTCACAGACTGTACTAATGTGGTATTTTACATGGACTGATTTTCAGATGTGTACCAATTTTGCTTTTCTTGGATAAATCCCACTTTGTCATATATAATCTTTTATATGCTGCTTGATTTAATTTACTTATGTTGAGGATTGTTGTGTATATTTTCTTAAGAAATACTGGTCTGTAGTTTTCTTGAGATGTCTTTGGTTTTGGAATCAGGACCACAGAGACCGAATTAGGAAGTATTCCACTTCTGTTTTTGTGAAGAATTTGAGAGATATTTGTTCACTTTTCTTAGAGTGTTACGTACAATTCACCAGTGAAGTAATCGGGGCCTATCCTTTTTTTTTTTTTTTTTTTTGGCCAGGGTTTTTTTTTCAGATCTTTCTCTGCC